GTCACCCGACACTGCAACTTTGTATCAATACCTAATTTTCTCAGATTAGTAATACAAAATTCTGAGACTTGACGTGAAAACATTGGGAGAACAATAGGAAGCATTTCAACGAGGGTGATTTTGATGAAAGGAACAAGACTTGGGAAATGTTTGGAGGCGTCTTCACGAACGAAATCGGCAAGCTGATAACAACGCGGGCAACACTGAGAGACGTTTACAGGAATATCTCACCTCTGCAGCGGTTTCCACGCCTGTTGGTCCTCCACCGACAACAACAAGGTGTAAGAGCTTCCTCTTTTTCTCTTCTGAGATGTTTGGCAGCGACGCCTGTTCAAGATTATCAAAAACCTTCTTCCGAATGGCTCGTGCGTTTTCAACTTCCTGCAATACAAAAACGATTTCTGTTCCCGTTGAAGTTTTCCAACCTTTAGAAAATTTGCGTTTTCTGCGACGCCAGGAATTCCGAATGTGTTGGCTGCAAATTAAAACGAGGTAGGTAACGGAGATAAGTAATGAAGATGAGTAACGGAGTTGGGGAGAACCTTTACCTTCAGCGCCAACAGCCACAACAAGATAATCATATGGTACATTAAACTCTTCTCCGGTTTTTGATTTACAAACAACCAGACTCTGAAAAATAAAAGAAAAAGCGTGTGATTGAAAGTAGCTGTTGGCTGTTGTTGCATTGCCTCTAGTTAGAATAGCGCGCTTAGAATAGACCCTCATAAGCGCATTTACGTAAACCTCATATAAGAATGTTTAGAATAGAAGCGCATTTACCATAGACCTCATAAGAATGTTCAGGTCGACTCACTTGGGATCCATCCAATTTTGTCGCCCAAGCTTCGTAGAATTCCATGACCCTTTTCCCTCCACGCAGCATTTTGTTTCTAACTGGTTCAAACATGAACGAGGAGTCAGCGTTCCGGCACAAACACTTGGAAGTAATGGAGTAAATGTAAAATAGTTCCGGGGCGACACGATCGAAACGTCGTATTTCGCGACATCTAATCGAGTCAGGAAGTTCATTGCTGCCCATCCCGTTCCCAAAACGACCACTTTTTTCCGTTGCTTCTCCGGAAGTCGCGGATCGCTCCCCAACCAGAAGAGAATATTCTGCCACTTCCTGACCACCCAGTCCAGAAGCAATTCATTATCATGATTGTAAGTCTTGGTTTTATGATCAAAAATGGGTCCTAGACCTTTGAAAGCTGTTTTTTGGGGTGAAGAAGTGGACGACTTGTAGCGCGCGAGGTTTCGGGTTGAACTCACGAGGGCGGCATCTGTTGCAGAGAAGATGGCGGTCCTTTTTATTGTTTGCTGAATCCTCAACATCTCGACGCAGGAGGAGCCGAAATGGACCAACTGTTCTGTAGGACCAACATCTGATTTGCGAACGGGTCCAATGGCTCCACGTGAAGAATTTATTTGCTCTTTGTGCGGAGGACGGTTCTTCCGTGCGTCTCTCCCTCATCATCAAAAGGCCTGTGCTTCACGGTACAGTGTTCCCCTTCATCCCTGCGAATATTGCAATCAACCAGTAAGTTGAGGAGTACTGAAGCGTCGCTGATCCATTTTAACAGATTCCAGCTCCTGAAATGGGAATGCATATACGTGATCGATGCACAAGCGCCCCAAAAGAAGAAAAAACGCGCAGTATTCCAAATGAGGGAGTCTCGATGGACGGTAGGGATCCTTGTGGGTTTTGCGGGCGAAAGTTTTTGCGAGCACGTCTGCCCGTCCATGAAGCGATCTGTGGAAATCACAAAACTCGACCTCAGTTTGACTCGTTCAAGCAACGCGCCCTTGAGGGTTCACGGCGCGTAATAATTACGACCAGAACAAATTTTGAACGGAACAGTCCGAGCAACCAACCCGTCAAGCCCCGTGAGAGACGATCTTCTGAGCCGAAACGTGCCAGCCCATCCGTCAGTCGCGTGCGGACTTCTGAGCCGAAAAGTGCCACCCCATCCGTTAGTCGCGTGCGAAATTTAGAGCCGAAAACGCGCCAGCCCATCCGTCAGTCGCGTGCGGACTTCTGAGCCGAAAAGTGCCACCCCATCCGTGCGAACTTTAGAGCCGAAACGCGCCAGCCCATTCGTCAGTCGCGTGCGGACTACTGAGCCGAAAAGTTCCAGCCCATCCGTCAGTCGCGTGCGGACTTCTGAGCCGAAAAGTGCCAGCCCATCCGTTAGTCGCCGTGAGTTGAGAACTCCTCCAATGAGTTCTCGGCAAAACTCGCCGAAGCCTTCCACAGCTCTCTCACGCCCTTCAATAAAGTCTTCAGGACGTCAACTGAATCCGGGATTTGGAAAAGATTCGTCGTTGATAACAGAAACGCGCTTCAGTGGAAGGCCGGAACCTGGATCTCGTCTTGCCGGAGGGCAAAGTGCTAAAATACTTCACACAAATATAAGCAGTCCCGACAACCCATTCGTTTCAGGATGGAATTATTAAACTTGATTCGGCAAAGAATTAAATGTATCTTGACGTCGGTATTCTTTGTTGAATATCTCTCCTTTATAGAAGTCACTCCTTGTCAACAGGAGAAAAACAGACGTCGGGCAGCATTGGAATATTCTACAATAAAAGTTATTGACAGACATTGAAGGGATACGATGCTCAATGCGATCGTGTTAGAGCGTCCCAAAGACGAAGGACGAGATCTTCACGATGCCTCATCCTCCATCGATGAAGAGATACGAAATGATTGTCATTGCGGACGACGAAGACCTGAGAAGATTGTCATTGCGGACGACGAAGACCTGAGAAGGAGGCCGTGAAACGTCTTTTCGAAACTGAGAACTTAAAGACCACCCGAACACCCACACTATGCAGTACACAACAGTCAGCTTGTCTGTTGTTTTTGTGTGCGCAACCAAATGCAATCACATGCGTACCTGGTTGGCATTCAATTCACTGGCAACCATCTCATCTCTCTCCATCAGTTGTAGCTTCATCCCTCTATCCATCACTCATCATTTCTTTATCATGATCCAAAAAAATCACACGCTTTCTTTCTCGCTCTCTTTGCCGTTTTAGTGGTTACTAGTTTCCACTCCATGTCACGAATCATGCGAGAACTGTGTTCCAATTCCTGCCATGAAAGGTGCCTTCAAAGGGTACTGCAAAAGGAATCCTTGGACCGAGGACTCTGGCCGTCGTATATGCCACTGCGAATTGTTGCAAGCCACCTCAACAACCATGACTACGGCAACAACCACGACTACGGCCACAACGGCGACCACGGCAACAACCACGACCACGGCAACAACCACGACTACGCAACAACCATGACTACGGCAACAACCACGACTACGGCCACAACCACGACCACGGCAACAACCACGACTACGCAACAACCACGACTACGGCAACAACCACGACTACGGCAACAACCACGACTACGGCAACAACCACGACTACGGCAACAACCACGACTACGGCCACAACCACGACTACGGCCACAACCACGACTACGGCCACAACCACGACTACGGCCACAACCACGACTACGCAATAACCACGACTACGGCAACAACCACGACTACGGCAACAACCACGACTACGGCAACAACCACGACTACGGCAACAACCACGACTACGGCAACAACCACGACTACGGCCACAACCACGACTACGGCCACAACCACGACTACGGCCACAACCACGACTACGCAACAAAACCACGACTACGGCAACAACCACGACTGCGGCAGTAACTACAACTGAGACGACACTCACCACAGCAATCACTGCAGGAAAAGACTGCCAATGTGATGGCTGCTGGGGTGACATTGCAGTCAATGTTCAAGTTCAAGTTGGAAGAGCGAATAAGAACATTGAGTCTCAAGAAATCTAGTTGTACTTGTACAGTATTTCTTTTAGTGCAGGCCTTCTCTTAGATCAGTCGTTCTCTTAGATCAGTCGTTCTCTTAGATCAGTCGTTCTCTTAGATCAGTCGTTCTCTTAGATCAGTCGTTCTCTTAGATCAGTCGTTCTTCTCAGCTTGTATTTTTCCGTACGAATGAGAAGAATCTTCCGTGTGGGGTTGGTGAAAGGGGTAGTTTTGGGGCTCGTTCGTTCGGTTAGAGTCACTGTTCTCGTTAAGATATATCGATTGCGCACAGCCAGCACAACAGACAACAAAAGAACAAAACATAACAATTTCACATAATTTTTGAAGACGAGGCGAAGAGCATTCAAGCCTTGTTGCGTGGATTTTTCGATGGCCACTAGGAAGCGAAAGGAGACGATTCTCGTTTCGCGGTTTGCAGGGCGCTAAACAGGAATGAAAGATTCCAATTTGGTCTGTTGACTTAGGGAACGAATCCGGCAGTGGTGGCCCATCGAGGATGAGGAGTCTCCGATAGTGAAGGGGGAGAAACCAGGGGAACCAAGGGCTTCATCTGCTGGCATTGCAACTACTTCGGCAACTGCGAGTGCTTCACCAGAGACCGTCCTCGCATGAGTGCCGAATGGTTGTTCCTGGGTTCTCTTCTGGAGCAAGAACAGGGTTCATAGTTAAGCTGGATCTGTCTCTCAGCCCTATTGATCTCCGTTGTTGGCACTCGGGCTTAGATTTATGATGGCCCTCGTATTACGGCCTCAGATTTATGATGGCCCTCGTATTACGGCCTCAGATTTATGATGGCCCTCGTATCTTCGGAGCACCTCAACCACAGAGCATGAAAAACAACTAACGATTGTTTTCCGTGTTCGTTTTCCCGAAACCCCAACCCAGACACGATGTGAGAAGCAAATTGCTTTCCATGAGACTTCCTTCCTAATCCAACTACATCCTTATTGCTCTAACGCGCGACGACACACAGTCCTGCAATTCAAATCAAAAACCCTTTTCTTGATGCTTTTGGCAAGAGTGTTTATCATTATTCTGGCATGAAGATACCAAACAAAATACAAAGGTGCAGATACTCAAGTTCACATCGAATAAGATAAAAATAGTGCGTGGAAAAAACTGCGCTGTCCATTAAATTGACTCAAGCAGAGGCGTGGACCCAGAACGGCCCCCCCTGTTCATTAGAGAAATGATCGGCCAAGACAGACCCAAACACCAGGGAAATAATCGCAGACAGCTTGACGAGAATATTCAGCGATGGTCCAGATGTGTCTTTCAATGGGTCGCCGACAGTATCGCCAGTGACTGCGTTCTTATGAGCAGCGGATCCCTTGGCGTGATCAGGTCCCAGTGCTCCAGTCTCGATGTACTTTTTCGCATTGTCCCAAGCCCCTCCCGAATTGGAGCTGGAAATCGCAAGTTGGACGCCAGAAACAAGAGCTCCAGCAAGCATTCCAGCGACGGCGTTCTTTCCGAAGAGAACTCCGCCAACAAGAGGCGACAAAATGACAAGCGCACCAGGTGCGATCATTTCACGAAGAGCTGCACGGGTCGAGATCGCGATGCACCGATTGTATTGAGGCTCCATAGTTCCGTTGATGATTTTCGGGAATTGATCGAGGCATTCTTTCACCATATCAGTCGCGGCAATTCCAACCGATTTCATTGTTAAAGCGGCAAAGGCGTAGGGCATCATAGCGCCGTAGAGAAGACCAGTGAACGTCCAGGGGTCGAGAATGTCGACAACTTTGACTTGGGCTCGAACTGTGTAAGCTCCGAACAATGCCAACGAAACAAGTGCCGCTGATCCAATTGCAAAACCCTTTCCGATAGCAGCAGTTGTATTTCCAGCAGCATCGAGAGCGTCAGTCTTGTAACGAACTTCGGGACCCAAACCAGCCATCTCAGCGATTCCTCCAGCATTATCAGAAATGGGACCGTAGGCATCAATTGTAAGACCCATCGTGAGCGTTCCCAGCATTCCGAGCGCAGCTGAGAAACACAAAACATAAAAATTAGAAAGGGACTAGACACCCAACTTCTTTCAAGCCAGGAAGCAATCGTTGAAGGCATCAGTGAAGCTTACCAAGGGCAATTCCATACATGCCGGCAATTTGGTGAGCGACACAGACGGACACAGCCAAGCAGACAACTGAATAATGCAGCTGAGATAGCCGAGAGCCAAACCATAGATGATCCCAGTTGCAGCAGAGACGACTTGAGTACGTGAAATTTCACGAACTGGGAAATAGGAATGCGATGTGTAATATTCTGTGATGAATCCGATCACCAGTCCCGACCACAACCCGAGAACGATTGACAGCATCGCCTTCCACCATGTCGAGACTCCAAAATTTCTCAGATAGAATTCGGTGGGAAGAAGATAATACGAGAGAATGATAACGACAGGGGTTTGAAGAGTGGTCGAGATGACAAGGACTTGCTTCAATGCCTTTTCAATTTGCTCCAATTCACGAACGGGATAGAAGTTTTGGATAATAATGATTGTGATGACACCGACGATAATTCCTGTTGATGAGATAACGACGGGAAACATCATTCCTGACCAAGTGTTGGCAAGTCCAGCAACTCCTTCGAAAACTCCAGCAGATGCACCAGCAATAACAAGAGCAGCGCAAGTGGATTCCGCGAGTGAACCGAAGAGATCAGCACCCATGCCAGCAACGTCACCAACATTGTCACCGACATTGTCAGCGATGCATGCAGGGTTTCTAGGGTCGTCTTCAGACATTCCGTATTCGTTCTTTCCGGACAAATCTGCTCCCACGTCCGCAGCTTTGGTGTAAATCCCTCCTCCGACACGCCCAAAGAGAGCAATTGATGAACCACCAAGACCGTATCCTGCGATAGCTTCATAAAGTTCCTTTGTGCTATCACCGAAAAACTGTGGCATCGAATAGATGACGATCAAAACAGCCAAATTGAGAATTCCAAGGGAAACAAGAACGAAACCCATCACTGAACCTGCACGAAGCGCAACTTCAAAGGCAGGCTCAAGATCGGTCCACGCCTCATGGGCCGTGCGGACATTCGCGTAAACGGCGATCTTCATTCCAATCCATCCGCAAACAATTGAAGTCAGTGATCCGATAATGAAGGACACCATGGCTCCAATACCAACAGAGGGGCCAATAATAATTGAGAAAACGATGATGTAAACAACCATGTACCGGTACTCTTGATAAAGAAAGGTGCCCGCACCCTCGGCAATATTCTTGGCAATGCGCTTCATAATAGCAAGCTGCTGAACAACATTTGTTCCGTGCTCTGCTGTTAATGGGTCAGATAGTTTATATTCACCTAGATGTCCATCGAGTTTGACAGCTGCGACTCGCCATGCTTCGATCATCGACCAAATCAGACCGATAAAAGGTGGAATGAATATCAGCCATGTGGTAACACGATCAGCTGTTGCTTGATAACTAGAGGCGCTCAGGGCCATGATGGTTTCTGAGGCAACGTCCATTTTCTTTACTAATGAAGGGGGCCGCTTCCCCTCAGCTCTCAACTTGAATAACAGGGCAGCTGAACGGTTGCTGCGTCTCAACCAAGGACAAAACAAAAAGAGGAGATGGCAGGTAGAAGATGTGGACGATATCTAGCCCACACCATATGTCCCATACAAGGACAGCACAACAGATTAGGATCATATTTTGATCCTTTTTTATTAGCGCGAAAAATGCTATTTAAGAAGACATTGTGTCAAGGATCACGAAACTTAATTGGAAATAAAGAGAGAAAAAACTCAGATCTTTAATTGTCTCGCGTTTCAATGCAACTGAAGAGCAGGTTGATGAAATCCTGTTGCCTAAAGGCTCCGATATTTCAGTTTTATCGTTGAAAGGGTCCCCAATTCAAATTTACTTCGCACATGGAGAGCCTCTTTTCTTCGATGCTGATGGACATGGGGATTTGTTTCCAACCTGTTTCGCGTTAGAGCGGTGTCCCAAATTGATCTTCTGCTTCTTATTTATCCGAATGTGAGTGACTTTGTCATGAAGGGAGCAGATCTGATGGTTCCGGGGGTGATCGTGCCTCTTTCATCCGAAGCATATGGACAGCCAGGATTGTTGAGGAAGAAGTGCATGGGCGTCCGGTGTTTTAGGAAATCCCATTCCATTTGCCGTCGGAAGATGCTTGATTTCTGGATTATCCGATGGGAAAGGAAAGGCCTTAGAAGTATTGCATCTGTTCGGAGATCAGTTATGGAAAATCGGGGGGAAGAGCATTCCGAATGCAGGGTTTACATTGAAGCGGATATTCCCGTTAGATCCTCCAGTCGAAGAGGACAGTCGATACTATACTGTGGATCCGAATACCGCTCAGTGTTCTCAGAACTTCTTGGATACTGCAGAAGATGGAGGAGGTGTGGAAGACGATGACGATGATGATGATGATGACGGATGGGATTCAAGATTGGAAGGATCCCCAGAGTCCAATGAACTGAATGACCATCAGATAATCGAAGAACCAACTGGTTCTGATAGACAAACAGATCAACCAGTTCATACGGAAACTGGTTGTCATGAAGAGACTGACCAGCCAGATAAACAAACAGACCAGCCAGTTCATAAGGAAGGCATCGAATCGGTAGATGACGAAAAATCTCTTCCAGCAGAAGTGTATGACGCATTTCTTGAAGCCGTATTGCTAGAGATTCTCCATACAGACGTCGCTGATTCTTCAATGCCAATTCAAGTTTCAGCCCTTCTTTCAAAAATGATGGTTAATTCTGGACCAATCCAATTTTGCAAAGCGTTTAGAGATCGTCTTTGTGCATTGGATGTCCCGCCATGTGTCTTCAATCGCGTAGATAGCGGTTCTCTCATGGTTACTTGTGACGTTAAAAGGTCTTCGCATAAAAAGCTGTCAAAACTGTTCCAATTTTACACAAAGAAGAAAGTCCCTCCAAGCAAAGGAAGTGAGGGGAGACCTTTTGCTGGTCTCCATCAACAGACAGTCACCAATTTATAAAGCGTACACTCCCATCTCTCAAGAGGAAAGGAAGTATGCCGCAAGAGTTCTAGGAAGCCATCATAAAAACGATGATGCGACGCCTTCCGCAGAACGAGTGGACACTCATTCGAAGTCTTCAAAAGAATCAGGATTCGAAATACTCGAGTTCTATCAACCGGATAATAACAGCATAATAGTGTTCGAAACTGCGGGAATCGAACCTTCGATTGCTGGAAAATTTTTCAGCGTGGCGGAATGTCGACAAGCGCTGTCAGATTATATCAAACAGAAGCTAGCCAACGGATCGAAGCCATCGTCTGTCATGCTAAACGAATTGCTACAACGCTGCGTTTTTTCTAAAGACGAACGCTCCAAAATCAGTCGAGGATTGAAATAGAAATGGAAAGAGGAGAATTGAATACGCGATTCCTCGCAAGTCTTCAAATTTATCACGCAATCACAAAAACGGATGTTGACCCACGCATCGCAAATCTTGCAGTTCGAAGAGGAAAGTTCAAACCGATCATCATCCAACTAGAGAAGCGTTCTGGTAAAAAAGTCGTGACGACGATCAGCAATATTGGACCCTTCGATATCGACCAGAAGAGTCTCGCAGACCTTCTTCAAAAGTCTTTCAGTGCATCAACATTTACGACAGACATCTCTCTCGGTATCCAAGGATCTCATGTAGCAAAGGTTGCCGATCTGCTTGTTGAACGCTATCATATTCCTAGAAAATGTATTAGCGCGAAAGTGTAAACTTTTTGAGTGACTTTTCAGAACTGGAGGAACAGAATATTTTCGTAGATTATTGTTCAATTTTTTCATTTTAACCCCCTGCAAAAATGTCGATCAAAGAAATCGCAAAGAGGCGTAAGGAAACCGCTTTTGTACCCGCTTCGATTTCATTGTTTTTTATGTTTGTTTTTTATGTTTGTTTTTATGTTTGTTTATCTTCTCAGGCATTTTAGAACACATGGTTGGTCGTGTACGTCGCGCAACTGTGAAACAATCAACAGAAGACAATCCGTATGGATCATCCAAAGCTCAGAGTTATTGTGCAATGATCGTTGATGATGGATCTCTCAGAGTGTTGTCATCCTGCTGTAAGGTGTATGATATTCTGGAGGATGGAGTCACCAGTAAGGATCCTCTTTCTCCTCCGTTCTGCAATCCTTCATCTTTTTGTAGTCATTGAGAACATCCTCAAGAAACGCCAGGCACTTCCAGAACTGGATTCTATTTATTTTTTGACGCCAGAGCTTGCTTCAGTCGAAGCGTTGTGTCGTGACTTCGCGAATGAGAAGCAGCCACAATACAAATCAGTTCACCTGTTTTTTTTCTACGGCGCTGCGTGAGTTGTCTTGTCTGAAAACTCTTTCTATCTTTATCATCTTATCTTTCTATTTTTGTCATTTTAGCGCCGAAGTCCGGAATTTTAGAAGCAATTGCACGGTGTACGGGTTTATTGTTCCGGCTGCAGACGTGTATTGAATTCAATCTGGGATTCATCAGTTATGAAAGACGAGTGTTTCACATGGACATGCCAGATGCCATCCCGCAACTCTTTCCTCCAACACATCCAGAAATCCTCCATGAAATTGCGGACAAGGTGAGTCTTCTGTTGACTCCGTCTGATTGCTGATGATATCAGACTCATCAGCATCTTCTTCTACTGCTGCTCTCTCTCTACTTCAGCTTCTGACTGTTTTGTGTTTCTCTTGGAGACAGACCAAATATCAGATTTCATAGCAATTCATTTCGTTTAAACGAGCAACTCGCTTCAATTGTTCATCAGAAGCTTTCCAAACTTGATGCACCAGTGAGTACCCAACCACAGAGACTCCCACCAAACGCAGTACTGAGTTGACTCCACTGGCTTGGCTTGAGCGACGGAGTGAAATATCTTGATGATTCTATTTCAGGGTTTATCGCGCGGAAAAACGAATCTGGTGATTGTCGATCGTTCAGTCGATCTGTCTCCGCTGTTTCTCCACGAATACACGTACCAAGTAGGAGATTAGAACAGAGAATAGTAGCAACAATGAAAGAGCCATGAATCTGTGTTCGACTGTATG